GGTTAAGAAATAGCTTTCTTGCATGCAGGCATCATGTCATGCACAACACGGCAGTATCCCGCTTCGACTGCATTCCGAAGATTCCAATAGCCTTGCTCACTCTTTTTTGTACAAGCCAAACTTGGAAATAACTTGGCTGTTTTTAGAACCCAAAGGCTTCAGACCTGATCCCAAGAGGGATCACATATTCAAGTCCTTTACGGATACAGAAGGACAGTACCTTTGAAAAACAGTTCTAACTAGTTGCTAGCTCCGGGGGCTGTACTGACACAATTGGCTGGGTTGACACATTGCACTGCACATTAACCATGGTCTACAAATGATAGTAGCTAATTCACACAATATGCCAAATCAAAATCAAGCATAAGCATAGTCTGATCTAGCTCAATGTGTGTTTCCATTCTATCGTTACTTTTCACTGTTACATTTGCATATCTTTCTATGGCAAGCAAACACACTCCTCCATTGAATTTCACAATCAAACGGGGAGATAAAAAGATATCCTACATGCAACCAGTGGAATCATTATTTAACAAGGTAGAGTAAGCAACCCACCATCCACTGTAGAATGTGGATGTAGAAAGTATTTAATGTAAGGGCACATGCTTAATTTCTCTTTCAATATGCAGGCATTCTCTAAGATGGAATACAGACACCCTATCCATTTCTTTAGGTCATCAGCTTATGGAGGTCCCCATATAATTTACAATATAATTTATGGAACAAACATCTATTTTCCTGCAATTATGATGGAAAATGTCATTAATAACTTGAAACATTCAATTAAACTGAATCTTTCACAACATTTATTTATTTATATATTTATTTATATATCAAATTTGTCACTGCTCATCTTGTTGAAAAGCGACTCTGGGCGGTTTACACAGGAGATAAAAATCAACTATAATACAATATAAAAACAATCTTAAAAATAATAAATAAATTCCAAGAATGACGGGATTAGCAAATAACTCAGGGAATGACATCAGGGTACCAGCAACCCCCAGGTTGACTAAAACTTATCACCCCATGCAAGCTGGCAGAGCCAGGTCTTAAGTCCCTTCCGGAAAACTGGGAGGGTAGGGGCCTGCCGCACCTCTGGGGGGAGAATATTCCAAAGGGCGGGGGCAATGGCAGAGAAGGCTCTCCTCCTGGGCCCCACCAGCTGACATTTGTTAAGCTTGCTAAATCTAAAATTCACCAGTGTTTGAGAGTGCTCAGAAAGATACTTGTCTACAGCAGAAAATGACATTACTGTATTCTATATGGAGAACATTTTAGGAAACACTTCAGCAAAATCTGCTAGGAAGTAATCCAGCACAGACAGAGCACTACCAATGGCACATATGCTGAATGGAAGGATAGTTTCCCTTTATGCATAAACATTTATCTACATCCCAGAATATAATCTCTCAAATTAGCCACAACTGAGCTAACAACAACTCTTAAAAGTGGAGGAGAGTTCAGAATCTGCTTCCTACACTTGCCTAACATAGTTTTTAGCTGCAGGGAGAAGTTAAAATGGAAAAGAAGAAGATTCATACAAAGACTTCTCATGCCTACCTTGTATGCTTATCTTCTTCAGAAATTTTAAAAATTATGTGGGAACTTATGCAAATGTTACAGAGAGTCCACAAAGATTCAAAAGGGAAAGCCAGCCCTTGTCTGTTTATATTTGTGAAAGAATGACATTTCCTAGGCATTGTAAATTCTTATCCTGATAGCTACAATCATGCCTAAACTGCCCCAATTGTGTTCACAGGATACACTCTCCTGAATCTGAAAATGTCTCTAAAATTTAACATCCAAATACAAATGTTCTGTAATATAACTCTGAAATAATATTTAAACCTCACCAGTAACTTAGGAGCAGCATATCATGCCACCCAGTGAAAATATAACCAGATTGCTGCCATATACCCCTCCAGAAATTTACCTCTGCCTCATCTGCAAAGAAGTAGTAGTAATATGGGTGTAGATGGGAGCCACACAATGAATAAGAAAAGGAATGCAGCATGAGCAAAAGCCAGAGCTGAAGTATTGCAGTGACAGTCTTGTCATTTTTCTTAGAAACACTTTCCGCTATATAAAGTAATTGTATATTAGCAGTGCCTGGATAAAATCACCTCTAGGACTGCCATGCAACAAGACTTATTGCCATTTCTTTCCCCAGCCCCACCTACATGCAAAGAACTAGATAGTTTTGACTACTGGATGTTTTCAGCTGAACTCAAAACTAAATATTGAAAATATTTTAATAACACCTTTTTCTTGGATGGAATGATTGATTATATGTAGCCAAACTGCATGTTCCAGTAAAAATGTTATATTGTTATATTATATGGCATGTAGTTCTAGCTGACTTGTAAATAATTGAACCTGTAATAATAAAGGCCAACATTACTAGCATAATCTAGACTCTCAAAAAGAATCAGAAATTACATTTATTGCTCAAGAAAAACAAACCAAAAAAAATACACACGCAAGCACAGCAGTTACATGGTTAGTATTTATTTTCTATTCTGCCTTTCCAAAATATACAAAGCAACTAAACACCTACATCTTTCAATAGCTTTTGGATCTTAAACATATGTAACATTGAATAGTTTATTTCACAATTATTCTTACTCTGTTAAATAAGAATAGCCATGCAATAAATAGTGAAACATATGAAGTTGATTGAAACTTATGAAGTTGATAGTAATAATTTCCAAATGGCCTTCTGGTACTGTATTAGAATGCTAAGTCTACCTTGCCCTACAGCAGCAAGATCAATTTTAAAATATTTGAATTTAGTTGCCACTTTGCAACCTGGGCACCATTCTTTAATGTTTCAATAAGCACTAAAGTCCTGCCAGCCATCCCTTCACTTTCTGTTTGGTATCATAACTTTTGGTTGAAAGGAACGATGCACTATAATGGTAATAAATGGCAGAAACCATACTTATCTTAACTACTTCTAAAGCAAACTAAGAGAGTCAGTTTGGTATAGTGGTTAAGGTGCCAGGCTAGAAATCGGGAGACTGTGAGTTCTAGTCCTGCCTTAGGCACAAAGCCAGCTAGGTGACCTTGGTCCAGTCACTCTCAGCCCTAGGAAGGAGGCCAGGGAAACCACTTCTGAAATCTTGCCAAGAAAACTGCAGGGATTTGTCCAAGTAGTTACCAGAAGTCAAAGGCATCCCCCCAAAAAATGCAAACTAAAGTTTAGATCCAATTCAACCTTAAATTTGTAAAATCATTATATGTAGGATACCATCATGACCTCATAACAGTATCTGACATTCAGTATATCTAGAATGGTCAGTAACATTTCACCTCAGTTTAGTTTCACTTTCCAACATCTTTTTAACAAGGATCTTTTGTTGCATTTTGTGAAAAGCACCTTAAAACGTGAAGCAGTTCAACAACTTTTGAATATAGGAACTTAGTACCTAAATTAATTTCTTAGATCTCTCTGAGTTAAGAAAGTGAACATTAAGTTGAATATTAAGAAAATAAGGAAAGAATCCGTATTTCTGCACTGAGAGGAATAAAAATACATAAATGACAAATCTTAACTTGCCTATCCATAATCATTCTTATTTACCTTATTCTTATCATTACTCTCATCCAATTGTGGGGTGCTCTTGTACTTAGCCACAAGCACAGGAGACAAATAATTTTACCTAAAGCACTCTGAAACAGACACCCCTGTGAAACAGCATGGTTTTTGAATATCCCAGACATGAATGTGCAGAAACATTTAACAGCAACGTGTTTGCCTTATTTGAGGATTCTGACACAGTGTCAATTCCACAAGCCAGAGGTCAGCAACCTAGCACATACAGTACTGATTCACACTGATTTCTATCTACTCAGACTACCTTTTATTCTTAAAAAAAAAATCCAATCCTGAGTTACCCGAGAATAAAATTGAGGACTTCTGCATAAAACCTGCCTCATCAGTGAGCAACAGGTTTGTTTAGAACATGGCCTAAAAACTCTTGATTTCAAAATCTTCCGGCACTTTTTAGCAGTATCTGCTCTAAATATGGTGACATGTCTTATGTTGTGAAAAACCAGTGGTATACCTATATACAGTACTGCCTATTCCAGGTGCGGGCAACCTTTCACCAGAGCAGACTTGGAGCTTTATTGAGAGCCACAGTGGGTAGGGGCCACAAAAAAATTAAAAAAAACCCCACTCTCTGGACATAACTCCCAAATTCTTCAAAATATTTATAGAAATAGCCAAGTAAGCAGCTCTTACATGGCAGCATCTGGCCACAGATTATCCTCTTGCCTAAAAGTGACTTTCTATGACCTCTGACCTCTATGACTTTCCAGCTCTACTACCTAATCTTTTTTTTTTTTTTTAAGAGACTGAACCCTCTAAAGGCAGTCAGATGCTCTATAATTAACCTATGACCTTTCCCCACAGGAGTTATTCCATCAAATAGCTTCCTTGTCTAAGACCAGGATTTATATAAAAACCCTTTAGTCATTTTAAAACTGTGGTGCTATTTTTTATTAATTCTCTTAAGAGCCACTCCTTCGGATTATTAGCGCTACTACGCAACTTCACCAAGAAAAGCTCATGTTCGTGACGTCACCGCGACTTTATGACGCTGTTTGAAGTCAACCATTCTCTCCTCTTTCCCTCTCCTGAGCAATCGTCCGCACCCGCCTCTCTCTAAGTGTCATTGGCCGCCCTAAGCGTTTCCACCAGCTCCTATTGGCCCTCTCGCCCACCAATCACTGGGGAGCGTCAACGCTCCTCCTTTCAGGGCCTGGGCCCTTTCCCGTCAAGCCCTGTTTGGTGTGGTCGCAGTAGGGCCCAACAGCGAAAAAAAAAAAACCTCGCTTGTCCGCCTCACTTTTCCCGACTATTTCGGGAAAGGCAAGGAGGAACAACAGGCTTCGCCATTTTTTTGCGGGAGAAGGAAGGGGAACCGGACTCGAACCCACCTGGACCGTCCCGGCCCCGCGAGGCCTCGTCCCCTGAGGGGGGGGGCGGGGACGGAGTCGCGACTATCGTGCTCTCTCTCGATTTTGGCGGGAATCGCGCTGAGGCAGGGAGGGTGGGCGGTTGTTGTTGTTGTTGCCGGGCTTCCTGGTCGCCACGACTACGGTGGCTATGGCGCCCTCCGTGTTCCCTCACCGGGGCAACTGTTGCTACCCACTTCGGTGCGGGGAGGGGGGAATGGGTGGTGCCTGAAGTCGATTGGACGGTGGCTAAGATTTATTGGGGTGTTCGGCTGTCAATCACTTCCCAGTATTTCCTTCTTTCTGTTGATTCTAAGCCTCGCCTCCTTCCGGAAACTTTACTCTTCTATTGGCAAATTTGGTAATCTCAACTACGGATTTGATTAGGAGCCTGTCATTCTAGCAGGGGGTGTTTCCTGAGGACAGCAACGAACGAATTAGGAGCTGGCAGTTTCCTACTGGCTAGGTGGCTTTTCAATAGACCGTGGGAGGTGTCGAAAGGCTCAATTTAGCTCAGTAAACGCATGCGTAGTTCCTTGACTTCTGGGAAATGCAGTTTAGATGCAGCAAAAGGCCTTTTCTGACTGTTTTAAAAACAAGGAGACGAAGTGTAACCGCCGTAGTTAACTGCACTTTCTACTCCTTGAATATTAGAAGTGATTTGTGGATCAGACCAAGCAGTATCCTGTTTCTAGGATGGGCGATCGCTTAAGCAAACCCCAACAGCAGAACTGGAGAGCAATTGCTGGTTCCTGCTGTAGCTCTCCGGCTGGCATTTACAGGCAACGGTTTCTGATTCTAAAGATACTGTCGAGCAGTTATTACTAATGGCGACTGATAGATAACCTTATTCGCGTTTGACATCTTGCCACAAATGCAGAAATTGCAGTAGCCTTATTTGCATACACCGAGCCAAAACAGCCAACTCCGTTTTAGCCAGGGGGAACACAGCCTGTGTGAATAATCCAGGGCGTTGTGCAAACCCAGAAAACTGGGTTGAGGCAATCTTAGTTCAGTCAACTATCGGTAATTGTGACGTGAATGTTTTACCAATAGAGGTGAGACCAAGCTAAATCCAAAAATGCAAGGGAATTCTTGGAAGCTTGGTATTCAGACAAGGCA